AGAAGCAAAGTACACATACCAGGAAAGTCTACTGCACCTCTGAAATCTATGCGAAAGGGATTTTAAGCGACAGCCTATTAGTCATGCTATTGGTTTAAAAAAAGGTTGCACTTTAAAAGGAACCTTATTTAACTTTTTGATACAACTAAATTGCACTTTAATGTAATCTAGGAAATTGCTTCTTTTTCCCCTTTGGGGAGAAACGGAGTAGACTAGCACACACTCTTTAATACTTGCTCACCCACTATATTCCTGAATCCCTTTGGTTACAGGAAACAAAGTATTTTCTGGTGTGTAGAATTACTTTAATATAAGTGGGGGAAACACCTCTGGAAAGACTCTGCATGCAGACTTGGAGGTTAATTATCAAACAGATAAAGAATGTGTTAAGACGGGTGTTGCGGATGCAGGCGAACCCAAAGCTTCCCCAGCTGCCTCCTGCCCTTCTCGGTGCCAAAAAAAGCTTTATGCCCCGCAGACCATCCTAGAAGGCGGTTTATAGCGTGTTTGATTATTACTTCTGTACGCAATATTATTTAGCAAGCAACAGGTGCTAGTACCAACACACATTTGTTCCACGCTCGCCTGCAGGGTCCAGCAGCACCACCCCCTCAAGGTCGCTCTTCCAACTTTCTTCTGACGTTTAAACTTTGGTCATATGATTCACGGCACGCCGCGGCGAAGTCCTTCGTACCTGGCTCCGAGGAGCCCGCCTACGTCAACAGGTACGCCAGCGGGTTTTGCAACGCCCGGACGCCCGGCTAACAGGCTTCCCCCTCGCAAGCGAGGTGGCGTGGGAGCGCCAGCCTTTACCTTAAGGGGGACGCCTCGGCATTGTCCTCAGCATCGGCTCCCGGCGCCTCTTCGGCGTCCTGGAGGCAGCGGCGGCGGCGGCTACTGCTGCTGGGGTGATACGCCGTCAGGACGACTCCTTGGGAAGCAGACCAGCGGCTCATGGTGGGAGCGAGAGCATAATGGCTCTGCCGCCGACATGAAAAAAAAAAAGGCGCTCCGTGAAGTTCCTGCTCTCTCGGGTCCTCCCCTCGAAGGCCGGGCGCTTCAGTCGCCAGGAAAAGGGGAGGAGCGAGACTAGCTGCCTTCCTCCAATGAGCCTCCACCGTTCACCAGAGTATTGTTCGCGGGAATTCTCCGGGCCCCTCGGCCCCCGCCCGCGCTCGCCTCGCTGTAACTTAATGATTTAAGCAGGTGAGCGGGGCGGCTGAGGCAAGTTGTCTTCCGCCGCAACTGTAAAATATAGTGCATCATCTTTTATTCATACTGCCCTCTGCCGAGGCGCTCATAGCTGCCTTCTGGTCTTTCTTTCTTTCTTTCTTTCTTTCTTTCTTTCTTTCTTTCTTTCTTTCTTTCTTTCTTTCTTTCTTTCTTTCTTTCTTTCTTCCTTCCTTCCTTCCTTCCTTCCTTCCTTCCTTCCTGTCTTTTTCTTTCTTTCTCTCTCTCTCTCTCTCTCTCTCTCCCTTCTTTGTTTTCTTCCCTTTCTTTTCTTTCTCCCTTCCTTCCTTGCTTCCTTCCTCTTCTGCTATGTAAAATCATGTTTCAGTCCCTTCCTTGAAGGCTTTGCACAAGACATCCTTCTCAAAACTCAGGGGAAAAAATGACTCAAAGAGATTGGAAGGGAAACATTCCTGGTGAAAATTTACAACCTGATGTTATGCTCATTTTTCTTCTTTTTCCATGGAGATTTTCTCTCAGTCCTACAGATTTGTGCTGACTAGCAATCCAGTATTACGCAAAGTGAGAAAACAAAGCCGAAAATCGGAGATTTATCATGTTCTAATATCAAAATTGTTCTATATATTTTCCTGTCATTCTTACTTTTATTCACTTTAGCAGTCATCACATATATTACCTGTAACTGAGATGCATTTGTGACTGACAGCAGCGGTTTGGCTGCTGTGGTATGAGCCCAGGTACACATTTGCAGAAATCAGTCTATCTGATGTGGTTTAGTCAGAATTCCTCGGGGCCATTTTTGCAACCCTCCACTATGTATGAAATGCAGTTTTGTATCTGGAGACAGGTTTGGTTTCAGTTGCAGTGAGTGTCCGATTCTTTAGTTCATCATTTCTGCTTTGCTCGATGCTTGCAGGAAAAAAAAATCTCACTTTTGCCCTTTTTCTTTATAAACTCATTTCTATGAACAAACAGAACTTTTATGCTGGCACACTCTACTACCTTTATCAAAGCAGGGGTCCCCAACCTCCAGGCCATGGACCAGCACCCATCTATGGCCCACCAGGAACCAAACTGCACAAGCGAGCAAAGCCCCATCTGTGCAAATCTGGGATCTAGGTAACGTGCGAGACTACACACCCCTGGTCCACAGAAAAATCGCCCTTCATGGAACTGGTCCCTGGTGCCCAAAAGGTTGGGGGCTACTGTATTAAAGGGCAGATGTTGTAACTTATTACATCTGCCCTTGCAAAGATGAAGTAAAAACTGGAGGTCATGTACTCATGCACTGTTCTTACTGTAGGGTCATTGTGTCATCCACAGGATGCCTATTTTAAGCAACATGTGAGCAAACTGAATGAATTGTGTGTAGTTTGTTATCACACTGGTCCACTGCTGTTTCTCAGAAAATAGCCAATTTCTGTACTACTACAACCGCAATTGAGCCCAAAATTTATGTAGCTAAGCAAGACAGTTGTTAAGTGAGCTTTGTCCCATTTTATGACCTTTCTTGCCACAGTTGTTAAGTAATCACTGCAGTTGTTAAATTAATAACACAGTTGTTAAGTGAATCTGGCTTCCCCATTGACTTTGCTTGTCAGAAGATTGCAAAAAGGGATCACATGACCCCGGGACACTGCAACCGTCATAAAAATAAGTCAGTTGCCAAGCATCTGAATTTTGATCACACGACCATGGGGATGCTGCAACCATCGTAAGTATGAAAAATGGTCATAAGTCACTTTTTCAGTGCCATTATGAGTTCTAAAAGTCACTAAACAAATGGTTGTAAGTCAAAGGACTAGCTGTTTTCATCTCGCACCATAAGCTGATTTTGCATTTGATCTTTTAGAAAAAGCATGACTTCTTCCAAAATGGGTTGAACATCTTTATAGAGAAAAAATATCTTCCTCAACTGTAAATTGACTGAGTTAAGATTTAACTTCTTCCACTTCATCTGACGTTGAAGTAAATGATTATGTCAGCATTCCCACCTTATAGAAGTTATCTATTTATTTAAATTGATGTTTGGGCTGTCCATCTTGAAAACATGACTATGGGTGGCTAACATAGTTTAGAACAGGGGTCCTCAATCCCCGCTCCGTGGACCGGTACCGGGCCATGATCTTGTTTCTATGTTAAATTTTCCAAGAAAAATCAATACAAATCCACACTTTGCTATTGAGTCCTACTACATAGGAATTCTACTGTCAAGTGCTAGGGAGATCCAGGCATTTCAAATGAGTATAAAGATTTATTGCAAGCTTACGCTTTCTACAAGAATCTGAGCTACTAACCATTAAAGCAATTTGGCGGTAAATAAGGAATTCACGATGGGCTGGACTTAGATCTCTTGTGGCCACAAAGGGACTCATGACACGTTTGACCCCTTCCTCGGGCTCAGTCTGATCATTTCCTACATATACCATGTGTCTGCTCCCAGACATACTGCTTGCCATTAAGCAATGATGGCTGCAAAACAGTGCTGAAAGAAAAAAAAAAATCGAGGAGGATCGTTGCAACCTTCATGAAATGAGTGGTTTTTTCCTCTTCTATGTTTCTGATACAGGAGAAGCCCATTTGAAAGTGAGGCCATCCTGCCTCTGTGGCATTTTCTTTCCCACTGCCCAGATTTCCTGCCACAAATCTCGTGTGGCAGGCAATTTATGTTTACATGAATTCAGCTTGGTAAAGCCCTGGAATGCAATCGTGCTGAGATACCATGTTGGTAAGGAAAAGGCTTTTTAAGCTTCGCAACCCAACCCATTTGCTGATAACTCCATAAATAGCTTCTCCCTTTCAACACTAAGCCCTAGATTCACAGCACTTGTTGATAGGCCATTAAGGTGAACTGAAAACATTTTAGTTTCTCTAACATTTAAGAGTTGCGAACCAAGAATAATAAGCAATTTCTCTGCTGGGGAATAGCAATAGCTTTTAGACATATATTGCCCCATAGTGCTTTACAGCACTCTCTGGGTGGTTTACAAATATCAGCATATTTCCCCCACAATGTGGGCCCTCATTTTACCGACCTAAGAAGGATGGAAAACTGAGTCAACCTTGAATCTGTCAGGATCAAACTCTAGGCTGTGAGCAGATTTAGCCGGCAATACCGCATTCTAACCACTTTGCCACCACGGCTTCCACAATACATAGAATCATCCATTCTGTGCAGTTCTGAACTTCTGAATGATGCATACAGGTAACTCTCAGCAGTGATAATTGGAATTAGAATTTCCATTGCTAAGCAATGCCATTATAAAGTGCAACATCACGTTATTGTATTGCCTAGCAATAGAAATCCCAGAAGTCCCCTTTGCTATTGGTAAATGAATCCCATCAGCCGGTGGCCTTCCAGGTGCGCTTCAAGGTGCTGACTATTATCTTTAAAGCGCTCCATGGCATCGGACCTGGCTATCTTC